CAATAAGCTGTCCCGCAGACAGCACACGGGCTCTTATTGTGGAAAATCAATGCTTCGGGATGACATTCAGTGCGCGCGTTGCACACACGCACAAAGCCGAGCCGCCGCACGAATCGCTGGACGTGTTCATCGCCGTTCGTAAAGGCCTTGTTTTTACGTGGCATTAGTGTGTGACCCCAAATGTCACGACATTTATGCTCGTAATAGTGCACTGCTCATCTGCAAATACGACTTTTACGTTCAAGCGGATTACCACCGCCAACGCGATCGTAATAGTAATTCCATTCTCAATGATTGAGCCACAATGGAGATACTCTTTCTATTGTACCGCGAAAAATCCACTCGGATCTAATTGATAACAGTTATCTCGTCATGTTTTCTCTGACAGAAAAAAAAAACCACGCTGAAAATTTCTTTCATATCAATATCCTTTTTCACATGTCAAGTGGAAACGAGGCGTTATTTTCGCACGATTCAATTTTGCGAAGTAGTCAAGATTTATGTGTATGTGTGTATATGTAGCGATTTAAATTACCTCGATACGTTATATAAAGTCTTCATTTTATTATAAAAACTAATTTAATTTGACACTGAGATAAAAACAGATTTATTTTAAAACGACCGATCATTCACAATTTCCAAAAGCTACGATATATAAAAGGAATCTTTGATTTATTACAGAACAGGAATTAATTTTAAATCAAATCTGATATTCTCATTAACGAGAATACTGTAGAAAGTTTTATTTTTGATCTGTAATTGATGCAAAATTACTTTGCTCAAGTAAAGATTAAAAACTTTTTGTATAAAGATTATAATATTCTTACATATGAGAACATCTCGATTTAAAACTATGTCTGTTTATGTGTCGTTTTTACAAGAAAATTTCTCGAGGAAAGAATTTATAGTTGTAATATATATGTAAATTATTCGCGCAACTTATATTTCTAATAACGCAAATTTTCTTTCGCCGCTCACCAAATCGGCGATTCAATCGAGCAGCCAAATCTGCATCCCATTGGCGGCGCATAAAAGAGAGATTGCGCCTATCTATCGTGCGTCATGCATAAAATATAGTCTTCTCCTCTGTAACCACGGAATATTTTTGTCGTTGACCCGTGCAGGATACCAGAATTAACATGGCCGATCGATCGTTCCGCAGGACGATATACCTCGTCCCTCGCTCGCTCGCTTTTCTGCACGCTCTATAATAACATTATCGATCATCCCCGCCTTTTAATTACGTCAGCCTATCGCCAGCTTCGGGAATATATCGTTCTTCTGATTGATAATGCATATAATACGTCATTCTTGGGACTATGACGCGAAAAGGCGTATATCGACTGTCTATTTCATTGTGTTGTTTGACGTTCGAGTATATAAATAATATAATTGTAACACACACACACATGCACAAGAAGGATTGATTGAGGACTCTTCGTGCCTTCGGAATTTCATAATACTTTCTTTCTCTTTCTTTTATATCCTTTCTCTTTCTTTTATATCCTTCTCATTTTTTCGAGATTACGTTAAAATCGCAAAACGTGATAAAGACGTCATTCGCGAGCTTGAATCTCAGGCATTCATTTGAATTAATTGTGAAATTTTATTGTATCTAAAAATTAATTGGAGGGAATGCGGTAAATTGCGAGACAGATGTATCTTTTTTTTTGTTAAAAAATTTTTTAAATCGAAATTCAACGTTTCATTTCTCTTTCGAAAAATGTACGAATCGAATATCATTTTTTATTTCAAATTTTGCTTAAACTATTTTAATCACCATTCTCACGTCGCTTTAACCACCATTTCTCCAATAAATTTTTGATATCTGAAAATCTTTTTCTCGTCTGTTTATAACGCATTCAAAGTCACTTTGCTGTGGAGATTTTTTAGATTTATTAACAGGAATATAATTTCGTTCGTATCACGAATTGGATTGTGAAATCTGGGTTTACTTACATTTTACTTCACGACTCGAATCGCGCGATCTCGCCTACGAATCCGTATAGCATCTGGTACATATCGATCTGCCTTTCCGTTATAGCGCGAACCAGGCGCAGTCTTGGCGTTAACCTTGAACTTCAACCTCGACATTAGCGACCGGTCGCGAAAGCCGTATCGCGGTTCACCCACGATCGACACGGATGATCGATTATGCTTTACGATCGAGAACAATCGAGCGATTGAATGATGGTACGCGGCGCAAACAAGTCCGAGACGCGTGGGGCGAGGTGGGAAGGGAGGGAGGGAAGAGATCCGATTAGATGATCAATCAGTTAGATCGGATACTTGGGTAAACACATCCAGATAAGAAACTAATCGGAATTTAGAAGCCTCATGTGAATCTCGAGTCGCGTGCGTTAAAAATCAATTGTTCGATCGCCGAATTCGATGGTTTCCCCCATATGAAAGTCTCCCAGCTTGGGTTGAGTTGAGTAACGGCGAAGATTATCAGTTGAGATTCTCCGAAACGAGGAGAACTCTCATGATTAGGATTATCGCAAAGTCAACAAACTCGCTCGGATTCGCTACGGCTTTATCTCTCGATATTGACCTATCTATTATTGACCGGCAACCTTATGACGTATGACAAACGCAACGACAATGGCCCTAACACGCACGTGGCGCTCGTGCATGTGCATCTCGTTTAATTGCGTTACGTAAATGGCTCTATCGTGACTCTCTTTCTCTCTCTCTCTCTCTTCCTCTTGTTCCCTCTCTTATTTTATCTATCGAGAGAGTTAGCCGGCGTCGATCGCGAGGCAATCGCATTTCCTGCGTGCGTGTATGGTCAAGGTCGCGAGCGTGTGCGTGCGAATCGCGCGAGAGAACGAACGTCGTTATTGTTATTTCGAGATCGCGGCGGCGCGGCGAGAAACTGCATAAAAGCCGGCGGTAAATATTTTTAGAGACTATCCCCGTCGTGTCGAAGAGGCGCGCGTTTTTAGCCGTCTGGAGAAGAACGAGACCACCAGCGCAATTTTTTTTTTTTCCACAATCTTGTAACGCGACCTCGATAACATCGCCCGATTATTTAATATCGAGTTCCTCGTTTCACGCACACGCGTAATTCCGCGTGTTAATTATTCTCGGGGCGTTTTGCCCCCACGGGTGCCTAGATTTTCACGGGTCAGGTAACACGATCACCGAGCCGCGTGTTTTAGAAATGCCTACGCAAAACACGCACGACGAACGCGCGACGAACACGTCGCGTCACGTAAACGTCCCCGAGGTTTTTACGTATCGCACATTCGTCTCTGTCATTCGTTTCTTTTTTTCTTCCTTTCTTTCTTTCTTTCGCCATTCTCTTTTTCCCTCTTTGTTTTACAATCGCGAGAGGAAAGCGAAATAAATTATCGAAAAAAAGCAAGATTTATGCCGAGTCCCCAATCCCGGCATTAGCCTCTCTTCTCTCGCGAATGAAAGCGAGAGTGGAGCGATTCTACGGAGAAGTCACCGACAAGCCGTGCATTTTTTTGCGAATCTCTTCGACGGGCGCTTTTTCCTCGTGAACGAACACCGGCCAATGGGCCAGCAACCGTCGGCGGGATCGAGTCAGCACATTCGTCTTCGCGTCTGCTGCGCGAGATATCCCGCGGGAAGGAGATTCCCGAGGGAGGGTCTGCCGCCCGCGTTTCTCGCCCACCCGCCACCCACCCCCGGCGGGCGGTTTCTCGACCGGCGGCGACCTCGCGAGGGCGAAACTTCTCTCTTTCTCTCTCTTTCTCCATCTCCGTCTCCGTCCCTCTCCAGGCGGGGGCTTTCTCTTCGGATTCTTCTTAAACGTGCAAAAAGCGTAAAATACGGCTGTCTGCGCCGGCGAGTCTTCGGTCTCGACGGTTAACTTCGCGCGTTCACTGGCATTCACCTCTCTTTCTCTATCCCCCCCCCCCTTCCTCTCTCTCTCTCCTCCTCTCTTCCTCTCTCTCTCTCTCCTCTCTCCCTCCCCCTCCCTCCTCTCTCTCTCTCTCTCTCTCTCTCTCTCTCTCTTTCTCACCCATCTCGCAGCATTAAACAAGCAGATATTTGAGTTACGTCGCTCTCGGAGCGGGTTTTAATCGACTCGAGATACTCGGCATAATATTCCGTCGAATTTCCGAGTGATCGGACGGCTGTGTACCGAACCGTCCCAATGCAATCAAACCGATTCTCCAATTGATCGTAACGCGTGAGATGACAATTTCCACTTCGTCCCTCCTCCCCTCGTTCCCTCGTCCGTTCCGTTCTCCGGCGGCAGGATAATTTGACGAACGATAGAGAAAGGATGCCTCCGCCGGTCGAGAGAGGACGAGACGCCACGCTCGGCTGTTTCGCAATCCGGGCCACGATAAAAATTAAAACGCTGCTTACACCCGTGACTAATTGCACGCGTCACGCCTGGCACACTTAAAACGATTTTTCTCGAATCCTCGTTTCATTGTGTTTCCCCGTGGAAGTGTACCGAAGTATTCAACGCCGGCCGTGTTGATCTTGTTATTTATAAGATTCCGGATTACTCGTTACGAAATTTAACAGGAGGGGAAGTAACGCGTTTAACGGAAGATACATATTCGTCGCGCTATTTTTACAATTGGATTTCGCCGCGATTAACACGGACGTAGAATCGGTAATGACGGTCAAACTGTTTGATCGCTGATAAAATCGAGCAGATAATGTCACGCATTCGAAATCAAAATTATGAATAAGTTAGCCGATATGTGAAAGATTGCAATACTCTGTCATAATATCGTGAATATTTATCGCAACAAAAAACATGCGCATTAATGATAATGAGCTTTCGCAAAGGCGCTGTAAAATGTATCCCGTGCGAATATTTCCAGACTAATGGCTTTATTAAAATGCAATATTTTCCTTTTATAGCTGCAGTTTTTCTTTTCTCTCTGTCTTTCGTGACGATTCGCCGCAAGTCGCCCTGCATAGAATTTTCGGCAGATTTCGACATGGGCATTATCAGAAAATTTAGACATGATATAGCGAGGAAGATAATACGAGACACGTAAATACAAAGAGTCGATGACGTTTCTGCGAATTTTATTAATATACCATCTGAGCAGGTTTCATCAAGAGTCGCGTGTAATTGATAGCTTTTTTTTCCTTAAATATATTCGAAAAATGAATAGAAGATCAAGGATCGTAGGAAGAATCGCGGAAACAAGGAGATATTCAGGTCATTTGTGGATACCGACTTATTTAAATATGATGATATATTCTGTCGACCGAATCGTATTAATTGCCAACATCCTTTTAGAAATTATAAAATTTTTTTAGCGTTGATTTTGAACGGTTAAACACAACTTATTTAAATCCCTCGTGTGACGCAAGACGTACAAATTTATCGATTTGGAAAGAATGTGGAAAAGCAAGTTTGGATCGGGGCCATAATTAAGAAACTGTGACTTAGTGTGTTGTCGCTTCGAGCCCTTCACTAGAAGGGAACATGAGCTACTTGTCTCGGTGAATGCCATGGGATTCAAGGTCGCGGTACGATTCGGTGAAGGATTTTTCGTTGGTCCGTCGTTATCCCTTCCTGCTCCTGAAAACCATTTGTCTCTTTCTACCGTAGAATACATTAAGCAACCGGTCGCGCGGTCGATCACGAACGAACCAAAGAAGTGCAGTGAGCAACCATACCAAATCGATACCAAAAGAAGAAGTTTAGCTCGAGCGAGGGAGGGAAGGACAAGGTGAAAGGGAGAACTTTTTTTCGCGAGAATGTGACGTGGGTGCGCGGACGGGGCGGGAGACTGAAAAGTAAACGAGAAGACAGAGAACCGCAGGGTGGTGTACCACGGAGGGGTGATTGTGTGCGTGTCTGTGTGTGAAAAGGTCAGCGAAATAAATCGGTCCACACGGTGACGAGTGAAAGTAGAACGGGCAAGCAGTCGGGCAAGATGATGAAGAAGGAGAAACCGATGATGTCGGTGAGGGCCATCATCGAGGGAACTCAGGCCCATTGGACACGTGGCAACACCTGTACGTATACACGTTAGCATTTGACGTAATTGATATGCCATCAATTGCCGCGCGTTAACTTTAAGGGAGATAACACTACGATCTGAATAAAACGCTGTCATTAAATTACTTCGTCTTTACTTCGGCATGTTTGTGAATTACTTAAGGTTTTTTACCCGTATTTTTATATTTACAATGAAAGAATTGTGGAAAATTTACAGATTATTTTAAATCGCATTTAAAGTAATACAAAAAAGTTTAAGGGTTTAGGAATTTAGAACCTGGATCAAAAATTATTTAATAATAAGTACAAGTGTGTTTTAATAGAAATATAATTAAGAAATAATGAAAAAAATCTCAATTTTTTTAAATAAATATTTTCAGTATTCAAGATTATTTATGTAGAGTAATTATTTATGTAAAATATTTTAAGTATTTAAGATTATTTATATAAAGTTTCATTGCGATGCAGAGATTAGTAGTTCTGTAAATAAAAATTTTATTTTATTTGTACCATCCCTCATTTGTACTCTTAATAAAAATTTAATTTTTATTTTCAGGGCAACCAATCTTCGCAATGAAACTTTACATAAATAATCTTTATATTCAAAGTTCTAATATAAAAAAAATTGAGATTTTCGTCATTATTTTATTACATTTCTGTTAAAACATTTTTACTTTATATTTAAATAACTTTTAATCCAGATTTTAAACCGTCACAAAATTTGTTTGTATTATTTTTAAATGCGTTCTAGAATCTCTAATTTTTCATGTAAATAAAAAAAAGATGTAATATATTCTTAATGCTAGAATTCTAGTCTTCGATGAAACTATTGCTTAAGATTAAATATTTAATAATGTTTTAAGTACATAAAGATTTTATAATAAAAATACATTATACAGTAGTTGTTATGTATTATGAGTTATATGAACGATCGTTAAATCTTAAATTTTTAATTGAGATTGGCAAACGAGTCGTATCGAATGAAACTAGGATAGGAAAATCGAGGCACAGATTTTCACGTTTGAGTTTTAGTCGAAGGAAAACTTTGTTAAATACTTAGAATCGAGATTAATAAATTTCACATATAATTAACGTTTAATGTAGTACACTCATAGATGACGAGACGCTCATTAAAAGTAATTTAATATTGATGAGATCAGCGACAATGAGAGATCGCTGACACTGATGATTCAACCATATATATTTTTTTCACTGGTGCGTGATTTAAATTGATAAAAATTCCGTTTCATTAGAATTGTGGATTAGAATTGTGGAATTGTGGATTACGAATGCGATTGACCTCGCTGGATATACGATGGAAAACCTCTGTGACGAAGAAAGCGGGGTAATGATATTTCGACTATATGATTCAACATAACGAACTTTATAATAGGATCATTAAATGCATTGAAGCGAGCCGAAATGAGATGTGGTTTTCGCGGGCTATCGTGCCCGTGCCAATTAACGCTTTACTACTTCCAAGTACCGGCGCGCTGTGAATTGTAACTTAAAAGTATCTAAACGAGATGGACTATCCTACGAATAATAATTAGCGTGTCGGTGCTAGACCGTCGATTAGCACGATTCTCAAGGTTCGATTTTACTCCACCGCAACCGACGACTCACACTCGTCGTTAAAGTGTTATTTTTCTCAGCGATGACCGTGAAACTCAACTATACTCGCGCAAACAATTAATTCCGCATAGTTCCTGTTTACGTGAACGGATCGTAAAAATCGAAATTAAACGCTCTTGTTTTTTGGGAAAAGCAATCAGCATGTCCTTTACAATTAAGAAGATTCGGAAGATTTACATAGAAAAAACACTTTTGCAAATATAAAAATTTGCTCGGATTTAAATCTGAAAATAATTTTATCGGGCCTTCAAAATTATTATATTATGTATACCGTTCGAATTACTGGAAGATAAAAATTTTTTGGAGTACTGTTAAAACTTTTAAACGTTCTACATAATAATTCTGATGATTCAACGAAATTATTTTCAGATCTGTAGCTGGCCAAAGGATTTTTAGATTTGCCAGCAAAACCGTTCTCTCCTCTATCTCAATTTCATCGTTTGTGTGCCAACTCATTTGTATTCCGTCCACATTACTCTATAACTCTCGTTCGGTACGCAATAAGTTATATTATTATTCTGTACATTTGAAAAAACATCATGTTAACAGAACACAAAGAGAGACCCGTATCGAAAGGTCAGAAATTTCGGGATGCCGTTTTTATCGACCATATCGAGCGTATCGTATACGCAATACGTTCTTGAATCGACGTGCCGCCGTATCCGTCGCGACGCGCTCGAGCGAAGTGAGTCACCCGGTTCGTGCGATAGCCTGCCGTCCTGCACCGAGGCGACCGATACGCGCCGCACGGTCGACGCATATACATCGTATGTAGATGCTAAATGTACGGGGTGAAGGTCGGCTATTGAGACGTGAATGGCGCAATTTGCGGCCGCGGCGGCGACGGCGCTGGCGAACGAACGAACGAACGAGCGAGCGAGCGAGCGAGCGAGTGAGCGCGCGGGCTCGCTCGCTCGCTCGCTCCTTCGTTATCAGTCACCGCTTCTAAAAGCGGCCTTAGAGCGGGCTTTAAAGTGCGGAGCGAGCGAGAAGGTCACGCGAATGCGCCTCGTTATCAGCGCCCACGGACGCGATTTACGAGCGCGTTTCGAGCCTTATCGCACGTGTGTCCCTATTGCTGTGCAACACGCGCGCGCCTCGTTCCTACGCCGGCCGCCCGAAATCGTCACGAACACGGGAACTTTCCGCACGAAACGTAAACAACGAGGCTCGGCGAGGATCGATGGAGATCGATGCCCGGGAAAAATTGATACCGAGAACTGACCAAGTCAACGCCGCGGCAGCGAAATCTCATTACAGTGCTCCCTGATAACATTTCTTTCTCTGTCTCCCTCTCCCCCCTCTCTTTCTCTCCTCGTCTTCTGTTATCTGGATATTCTGCTAAAAGTGAATCGAGGTCCGCGAAAATATCAACATCATTTCTATTTCATCATCATCATCATTTCTATTTCATCATCATCATTATTATTATTATTATTAGATTAAAATCATTTATGATTTGATTACTTCTCCGTCTCTATTTGTTTCACTCTGTTTGATTCGATTGAGTCGGATAAAAGAGAATCGGATAATTTCGTCCCAGGCGACGAAATTCATGGCCACGGACCTGATCGCGATCGATCATGTCGTTGACAGCCGCGCGTCTTAAGCGAGAGCCTCGATGTTTGCCGACTGGCGCGAAATTGCTCTACAAGGCTGCACCGTCGACGCCGGGTTTTATCGGATAAGACACCGCGCGAGCTTCGTTTCGTTATCGTTCACGATGCACCAGGTAATTCCTTGGACGAAGATAAAAAAAAGACATGCGATAATATGTGAAATGAGGAGATAC